TTCTACATAAATTTTTCTAGAAAGTAGAAGAGGAGAGAGCATTTTCCAGTTGATTTTATATGTAAGACCAACATCACTTTCTACCAAAAGCTGACAAAAACATTACAAGGGAGTTGAAAACTATAGTCCCCCTAAAAATCCAGCAGTATATAAAAAAGGGCATTATATTATGACCAAATTGTGTTTCTCTCAGGAGTTAAGATTAGTTTAACATTTGAAAATCAATCAGCACAATTTACCATATTAACAAAAGTAAAATAGAAGAACAATCTTAATAAATACAGAAAATGTATTTGACAAAATTTGACACCATTTCATGAGTTTAAAATTCTCAGTAAGCCAAACGCAATGGCTCATACTCATAATCCTAGCACTTTGGGAGGCAGAGACAGGAGGATCACTTGAGGCCTGGAGTTCGAGACCAGCCTGAGCAACATAGCAAGACCCCATCTATACAAAAACTATAAAAATTAACCAGATGTGGTGGTGTGTGCCTATAGTCCCAGCTACTCAGGAGGCTGAGGCAGGAGGATCCCTTGCACCCGGGAGTTTAAGGTTACAGTGAGCTATGATGATGCCACTGTACTCTAGCTTGGGCAACAGAGCAAGACTCTGTCTCAAGGAAAAAAAAATCCTCAATAAACTAGAAATAAAAGGGAACTTTCTCAGCATAATAAAGGATAAATACTGAAAAATCTATTGCTAACATGCCTAGTGATGAGAGACTGAATGCTTTTTCACTAAGATTAAGAACAAGGCAAGGATGCCTTCTCTCATATAATGTTCTATTCAGCTATATACTGGAGGGTAATGAAGAAAAAATGAGAAATTAAAAGTCACACAGATTTGAAAGAAGAAGCAAAACTATAAAAAGCATGTGTTAATATATGTAGAAAATCTTAAAGAATCTAGAAAAACATTAGAGTATACAAAAATCAACTGTACTTCCATACAATAGCAGTGAACATGTAGAAACTAAATAAATAATAACCTTTATAATAGCTTCAGAATTATGAAATGCTTAGGGATAAATTTAATAAAATACGACAGTACCTGTAGGCTGAAAACTACAAAACAGTACTGAAATTTTAAAAGACCTAAATAAATGAATTTTACGTTTAAGAATATTTATGAAATACATTTATTTGTCAGTTCTCACCAAATTGATCTATAGATTCAATACCACCCCAATCCTGTACCAAGATTATTTGTAGAAATTGACAAGCTGATTTTAAAATTTATCCTATTTGATTTCAAAACTTCTTATAGAGCTACAGTAATCAAGACAGTGTGGTATTGGATTAAGACAAGACAGTAAATCAGTGGAACAGAACAGAAAATGTAGAAATAGAAATAAACCATGTAGTCAGTTGTTTTTGTCAAAGGCCCCAAAATAAATCAATGAGGAAAGGAAAATCACTTCAACAAGTAGTGCTGGAACAGTTTTGACATCTTTGTGCAAAAAATTGAACCTTGACCCTGACCTCATGAAATGTACGAAAATTAATTGAAAAGTCTTATAGGTTGAATTGTATTCTGCCCACCCCCAATTCATATGTTAAAGTCCTCACCCCTTGTATCTCAGAATGTGACCTTATTTGGAAATGGGGTTGCTGAGATGTAATTAGTTAAGATGAGGTCATGCTGGAGTAGGGAGGGCCCCTAATTCTATATGACTGGTGTTCTTATTAAAAATGGAAATTGGGGCCAGGCACGGTGGCTCACGCCCGTAATCTTAGCACTCTGGGAGGCCGAGGTGGGCGGATTGTTTGAGCTCAGGAGTTCGAGACCAGCCTGAGCAAGAGCGAGACCCCGTCTCTACTAAAAATAGAAAGAAATTAATCGAACAACTAAAAATATGTAGAAAAAATTAGCTGGGCATGGTGGCGCATGCCTGTAATCCCAGCTACTCAGGAGGCTGAGGCAGTAGGATCACTTGAGCCCAGGAGTTTGAGGTTGCTGTGAGCTAGGCTGACGCCATGGCACTCACTCTAGCCAGGGCAACAGAGTGACACTCTTGTCTCAAAAAAAATAAAAATAAAAGTAAAAATGGAAATTGGGACACAGACATACACACGGGAAGAACACCATGTGAACATGAAGGTAGAAGTCAGGATGATACCTGTACAAGTTTAGGAACACCAGAGATTGGCAACAAACCCCCAGAAGCCAGGGGAGAGGCATGGAACAGATTCTCTCTCTCAGTCCTCAGAAGGAGCCAACTCTGTGGACACTTTGATCTTGGACTTCAAGCCACCAGAACTGTGAGACAACAAATTTCTCTTGTTTAAGCCACTCAGTTTTATGGTACTTTATTACAGCAGCCCTTGCAAACTAATATAAAAAGGATCATAGACCTAACAACCATAGGAGCTAAAACCATAAAACTCCTAGAAGAAAATCTTTGTGACTTTTGGTTAGACCCAGGTTTCACTGAAAAGTTATAAGCAAGAATTACAAAGCACAAAATTGATGTTAGACTACATCAAAATTAAAATAATTTGCTCTTCAAAAGATACCATTAAGAAAATGAAAAGGCAAGTTACAGACTGGAAGAGAATATTTGTATTTTATATAAGTGTATATGTGTATATATATCATGATATATGTATGATTAAGGACTTTTATCCAGAATATATATTTAAAAAATTCTTAACAACTCAGTCATAAAAAGATGAATACCTTGAATAAAAATAAATAAAAATTTGGCAAAATATATGGACAGATACTTCACCAAAGAAGAAATATTGATGTCAAGTAAGCACGTTAAAAGAAATGCAAATTGAAATTGTGGGATACTACTTAATCACTCATTAGGATGGCCTATAACAGTTTCAAATGTGGGCAAGAATGCAGAGCAGTGGGAACTCTCATACAGTGCTGGTGAGAATACAAAATTGTATAGCTACTTTGGAAAACAGTTGGCAGTTTCTTATAAAGTAAAAGATATGCTTACCAATCCCATTTTCTAGGTATTTAGCCAAGATAAATAAAAACTTGTCCATAGAAAGATTCAAAGGTTCATTACAACTTTATTCACAATAACTTGTGGAAACAACCCAAATAAATGTCCACTGACTGGTGTCTACATAAACAAATTGTGGCATATCCATAAGGTGGAATACAAATTGGCAATAAAAATGAATTACTGATATACACACAGCATAGACGAATCTCAGAAGCATTATGCCAAGTAAAAAAAGCAAGACAAAAGAATGCATACTACACAATTCCATTTATATGGAATTATTGAGCAGCAAAACTGTAGTAACAGAAAGTAGATCAGAGATTGCCAGGGACTAAAAATGGGGGAGGGGATCGACTGTCAAGGGGCAGGAGGGACCTTTGGAGGGGAGGAGTTCTTTATCGTGATTGTAATAGTGGTTACATGACTATACATTTGTCAGTGCTCACTGAATTGAACACTTAAAGTTGGTGAATTTTATTTTTTATATATTATACCTCAACAAAGAAAGAACCACAAACAAACTGTCTACTGTCTGTCAAGTGCTATGTTAGGAATATGATTAGATGAATGTGATATGCATCCTCCCCTCAGGGAGCTCACAGTCTATAGACATGACATAGAAGGACTTACAGTTCAGAGAGACAAGAGCCCTAGAGAGAAGTACTGAGGCACAAAGGAAGGAGTACTTGATTGGGAAGGCCCCACAAAGAAGCCTTGAAAATTTTAGTTTGATGAATGAGCAGGAGTCAGATGAGTGTCGATGGGAAGGGCATTCCAGGCACGGGTATGCAAGTGTGTTTTATAAACTACAAGGACCCTGGTATTGCTGGAGCCATGAGATTTACGTAGAAGTGGCAAGAGTTGAGGCTGGACAGGTTGGCAGAGAGATAAAAGGTGGAATGATTTCTCATATTTGCTTATCAAGCTCATAATCCAAAAGAAACTATGTACTTGGGAGAGAAACCACCCCTCTTGGATGAGAGATGAGATGGTTTCATTTCTCTTCATTCTTTTCCTTTTGTCTTAAAACAAACAAGAACAAAAACACCTTGCTTTTAGAATCAACTGTTTGAAAACAGTAATTCTCAAACAGACCCCAGCAGAATTTGTATAACTAAAGCTGTACTTTGAGATTTCACATGTTACAGGAATGAGACATGTTTTAATGTTTGAGAGAACCTTTAATACTAGCACATTAACAACCATCTGGGAGAACTGCTGAGATTAGCCAGATGTGCCTGTGGCTTGTGCTGTTCAGGAAATATCAGTTTCTTTGCGCCAATAGGGAGAAATACAAAATCATTCCTGCATTACATTTTGGAAAGGAGAAAACCTGAAACTGCTTATTGATTCAACTACTCCATATACATGAAATTTTTGAACATCACTCTTTATCCATGGACTGATACAGGGAAATGTATACGTGGGTGTATGTGTGTGTGTGTTTGTGTGCGCGCGTGTATGTGTGTGTGTAAGGCAGATGCATAGAAGGATTTCCATTAATGAACAGGAGAGCTGATTTTGAGGGCCTGTTTTAAAATCTAATGTTTTCTTGTGTATTACAGGCGGTGGAGTTTGAAGGCTGGGCTGACATCCTCTTTCTTCTGCAGTTCACCCTCTCCTGTGTGATGGGGTGAGCTTTTGCTGCCTTGTTAGCAGATAGTTTTCCTAGAGAAATAGGTTAGAGATCTTTGTTCCAGAGTCCTGCCTCCTTTCTCAGTATCCTGTTTGGTCTCCTGAGTGTGTCAGCTTCGGGTAATTAACCCCCAGACCTAGATGGTTTCACAGCCCTTGGGAATGTGCTCTCAGGGCTCCGGAACTGATCCCAGTCATGCTTAAAAGGATGGAGAACAGGAACTATTTACCAGAGAACCTACTGTGTGATAAGCACCATTATATTTCAACATGCATTATTTTGTTTCATCTCTACGTTGGCCATTTGACAGATATTGCTGTCCCCTTACCTATGAGAAAGCAGACTCAGAACTTAAGTTGCCTATTTTGTACAATTAGTAGGTGGCAGTGGCAGCATTTGAATTTGGGGCCACTTGACTCCTCTGTATCATGTCGTCTCCATTTCTGAAGAGAATATGTAGAAGGCAGGAGGGTATCTGAGAATAGGCCTCTTCTCCTCACCTCCATATTTCTCTAATGTATTTTTTCCTCAGCCAGTCAGTTCAGTTGCTGTTTGTGACTGGGTCTGGCACAGAGTGAGCAGGTACTTCAGAATAAAGTTGACATTGTCCCTTGGTACTAAGTCAGGCTCAGAAGCCTCAATGTAAATCAGGCAGTTCCAGCTGCTGCTGCTTAGTTGTTCAGTGAACGTGTATCTCCTCTTAAAGTAGTTTTAATGTGGTTTTCTTCCATCTCGAAGGCTCTCTCTTGCCTTCACCCTGGCCCCGAGGTCATATTGGTTTCATGGAAGGTGCACAACTGAGCTAGGGTCTATGAGCTGGCTTAGGTGAACTAGTAGGAAGCACGATCTATAAAGAGCGCTTATAATTATGAATGATGGTTTCAGGGTTTTGGAGAGGGTGGCAAGGAAAAACACCTGTCAGGAAATGGATGTGTGTTTCTCTTTAGTGAAATTTTTAAAAATCAAGCTGCAATATAAGCAGCAGTGGGGTGGGGAAAAATCACAGTTGGTCAGTGACTAGAATGTGCTAGCATGGCCAATGCTGGTTGTTTCTCTTGGCTAGAGATTATTATAAAGTAAGCAAATGGATCTTATTTATATCTCTAACTTACTCATTCTAGGTTTATCTTGATGTACTCCATAGTACTCTGCACTCAGTATAATTCTGCTCTTACAACTACAATAGTTGGCTGTATTAAGGTGAGTTGGAAAAATAGTGTTATCTCTTTGGTACCTGCTTTGTTTAAAAATTGTTCTCCACAAATAAGAGTCTGGCTATGGCCTTAAGCCGCACAATCCGCATGTACTGTCTTGATAGTGTGACAAATTGTAATGGTTTCTGAAACAGTCTTTAAGAACGCAGGAAGGGCATACTCTCTACTTGCAGGCAACTTAGCTTTGAAGAGTATGGGAAAAGGAAAATGTATTATCTGAGTAGAGAAAGAGAGAGAATCAGGCCTGTTTCTGATAGGGCAGATGAGTAGCTTGGTAGTGATAAGCTTGTCCCTGTAACCTCTAGTGAGAGTTGTACTGTCTCTGCCTCACTGAGTTCTGGCTGTTTAGTAGGGAGAAGATGCCTGCCAGAAGCTAATCAAAGGAGTTTTCCTGTGCCTGAGCCAAACCTTAAATGGCCCACTTTTAAAAGCTGTGGTGGACATTTCCAGTGATGTCATTTCCTCCTGATCTATTTTATTTGAGGGAGATTAATTTGTCTTCAGCCAGTGATGTCATTTCCTCCTGATCTATTTTATTTGAGGGAGACTAATTTGTCTTCAGCCGGGAAAGCCAAGTTGACTTGAATACTGGGCTAAAGTTAATGGCTTAAAGCCTGAGGCCTCTTTCATCTGACTTTGTGATTCTAGTGCTTTAAGATTCAAGAGACCACAGCATGTCTGAATTCCAAATGAATTAGCAAAGTGGCCTTGCTTTCTAAAACAGGCAAGACAGAGGTAGGTCTTTGATCATTTGGGGAAAAGTGGGCAGTTGCCCTTGTGACTTCCCTTTTGATGTCCAGTTAGATTGGGTTAAAACTCTAGAAAGTCTGTGGCTTCAAATCATAGAATTGGAGTGTTTGGTGTTAACAGAATTCTAAATTAAGCTGTAACAAGTCAATTGTGTGAATTCTCCCAGAAAGCTAAAGACAGTCTATATATTCAAGGGACTAGGCTGGCTGAGATAGTTTTAACCCCCCCCAGTGAGCTCTCAGCTGTGTTTTGGTTTTGCAAAGTGAATGCTTCAAGAACAAAGTGGATAACTTGCATCTTCGGAATGAGAGTAGCAAGCACATGAGAGGTAGGGCAGTTGATAACCATGCTTTTAGCTAAGGAGAAGAGTGATGCAGGAAAGCCTGTGTTTGATTTTATAACTATACCTATTTGCTTGGGATTTCTTAGTGTACTTTATAAGCATGGTATACAAATATAGTCATGCTCTTGTTTACAAAACATGGTCTATACTTTTGATATATATTCCTTCCCACAGTAGTCTAAGAACCCCATGGATTTACTTATTCCAAAGGGATTAGTTACAAATTCTACTTACAAATTCTAGAGAGAGGTAAAAACTGAATTGTCTGATTAGTTCACCGTTGCTTGTGCTTCTCACTGGTGCATGGTATCACTGTCAAAGTATGGCTTGCATCTTCAGACAGATGGAAGTCCGTGATGCCCTCGCAGGGTCGGAGCCTCACAGGCCACAGTGGAGCCTCTTTCCTTGGCCTGCTACTCATAACCCTTTTTGCTGAGCCATTGTTCCTCCTGTGAGCTTTAAGCTTCCTTCTGTGCTTGAGGATCCCACTTGCACAAACGCTTGGGTCAGCATTTTTTTTTCTCTTCAGTATGCTGGGAAAACCAGTTAGGATAACTAGTTAAAAATGGAAATTCCAAGGCCACCTCCAAATATACTGAATCAGAGGCTAGAAATCTTCATATTTAACAAGGTTTCCAGGGGATTCTCAGATATACTAAAATTTGAGAATTGCAGTCTTGGTTTTGAGCTACCAGAACTCTTCTGTGCTTCGAAGTTCTGTTTGGAGGATATTGGCAATCTTTCCTGATACCAAACCTTGCTTGGGATACCCTAGTATATACCTGTGGTTTTTCTAACTTCTCGTTTTGAGCAGCATAGGTTAGGTTCTCCTGTCTCCTCCCTTTCTGAAGTTCCCTGGGCAGCTTATGTAAGTAAATTAATTCACCTTCTCCTTGGATCTCTGTATTGAAAGAGAGGTCCTGTTACATACTTTCCCAAGTTGCCTACTGGCCTTGTTTACTGTTACATGATATTTAATTTTATTTTTTCCCCTCAAATAAGAAAAATCTGCTCTAGGGTAACTTGCTGTTTCCATCCTTAGACCTAAAAAAGGCTGATATAATTTTAAATGCTTTCTCCAAGGGCACTCTGTTATAAAAATAATTTTGGAGTTTGTTTTTGGCCTTTTAAAAACACCATAGCAATTTACTTTCTGTCTCGGAGGCCTAATCTAGGAGAGCCTAGGTACTAAAAATGTTTGTGACATTTACAGTTTATGGCAGTTGTAATAGCAGAGAGGGAGGCAGTGACTTATGAATATGAAAGAAGGGAGATTGGGAGGAATTGAATAATACAGGTTGAGCATCCCAAATCTGAATCTGAAATGCTCCAAAATCTGAAACTTTTTGAGGGCCAACATGACATTCAAGGAGAAAATTTGGAGCATTTGGAGCATTTTGGACTTTGGATTTTTGAATTTGAGATACTCAGCCGGTAAGTATAATGCAAATATTCTAAAATCCCAAATCTGAAACACTTCTGGTCCCAAGCATTTCAGATAAGGGATAGTCAGCCTATAGTTTAAACTTTAGAACCTTGTTTTTTGCTTTTGTAGTGTGAGGATAATTAAGAGAGAGCCAGACAATGTTTGCACCTGGGAGTGTCAGGTGAGGTGATTTTAGGTATAATGCATCGAAATGACTTACCATATTTTTTTTAGGATACCAAGGAAGATTTTTCTAAAAACAGTCTTTACATTGGTAAAGTCCCTAATATCCCCTTTTTTCTTTTTAAAAGAAGTGGGAAAGATGCTTGCATGGAAGCAGTCTTTTCTTCTTCACTCTCTCCTATCAAGTTTACAGTTATCTCAATAGGAGAAAAATGTAGTCTTTTCTAAGATTGCTAAATGTGTTTTTGTATTTTCTACCCCTAATAACAGCAATGTTTATTTAGATTTGTAATGTAAGCCCGTACCACAGGTCAGGGAAAGTTTGACAATCTTGTTACTATTCTTCTATCTCCATGAAAGCATTTATCTTCTGGAGAATACATTAGGAAGAAGCTAAGTCATTGGTTCCTTAATAGTGTTCTTGCTCATACTACACTCTTATTAGAGTTGGTGGGTTTCTGTTGTTATTGTCTGTTTGTTTTTGTATTTTAAAGATAGGTATTTGGGTCACAGAACGGGTTAGTTTTTATATGTATTTAAAAAGCTCAGTTAAACCTATGTAACAGTATATTGCCATTTTTCTTTTTAGAATATATTAGTAACTTATATTGGAATGGTGTTTGGTGGAGATTATATTTTCACATGGACAAACTTCATTGGCTTAAATATCAGGTGAGTAAAAATATTTAATTAAATATAACCACTTTGACAAGTGGAAATTAGATATTCAAATAGTATCACAGTAAGATCGGGCTATTAAATTAATGGAAAATTTGTTGACTTATTAAACATTTGTGGAGTGTCAACTTTGTGCTAGATACTTAATGTGTCTACATAATGCTTTATAAGAAAGGAGAAAATACTTCCAAATTCTTTGCATAGTATTTGGGGAATTTTGTGGAAGTTGAACTGTCTTTACTTGGCCTTCAGAGTCCTCTATTTATTATGCTAGATGCAATGCAGTGTTCTCAAGGAATGTAGGGCTAAAGAAGAATACCAATTCAGTTACGGTTGCTTTATGTGAGTGTTACCTTAGACATATCACTACCTTTCTTTAGACCTTGTATTCATCAGTGAAGGGGGTGACTTGTAGGAAAGATCTTTTTCATTTCTGGAATTTTGAATCTCATTTTAAACATCGTTTATATGCCTAAAAGTTATCAAATTCATATTTGGGCCAGACCTCTGTCCTCAAGTCAGATCCATTTATCCAACAGCCCATTTGACATCTCCAGCTGGTGTGTCCAAAATGACCTCCTTTTATTTCCTTTATTTCCTGCAAAGTCTGCTCTATCATCTTAATTGTTGGAGACCCCATCCTTCTAGCTGTTTGGTTTAAAAGCCTTGGGATCATCTTTGGCTTTTCTATCATATATCCAATATCCAGCATATTAGCAAATTTCGTTGTCTTTACCTTCAGAAAATATCCAACAAAGGATTGCTTCTCCCCATCAGCATTGCTTTCATCATCATCTAAGCCACCAGCATGCTTCGATTATGGTCTTATTCTTACACACTTGTATCCCTAGTTTGACTTACCGACCTCTCCCCTAGTCAGTTCTCAACAGAGTAGACAGTATATTCCTTGTAAAAGGTAAGTCAGAACATGTCATTCTTCTAACACCTCCCACCCCCACCCATGGCTGTCTAAGTCCCAAAATCATTACAAGACCCTAACAAGATTTATCCCCTCTTTTCCTCTCCAACTTCAGTTCCTGCTTCTCTTCTTCCTTACTCCACTTTATTCACATAGACCTTGCTGTTCCTCTAGAATAATTAGCATGCTCCCTCTCTGGAACCTTCGGACTGAATATTTCCTCTGCCCGGAACAATATACTGCCAGATACTTGCATTGGTAACTCTTTTACACCTAGAAGTTTTTGCTCAAATGTTATCTTCTCAAGGAAATCTACCCTGACCACCTCTTTAAAAATCGTAAATTGCTCTCCCTCTTCTAACATTCCCTAACCCTTTTATTTTGCTTTTCTATTTATTTTTTCCAGAGTACTTAGTCACTTTCTAATATTCTGCGTAATTTGCTTATTTATATATATTACCTATATGTGTTACCCCAGGTAGCATGTGAATTCCATGAGGGTAGGGATCTGTGCCTGTATTGTTCACTGATATTTTTCAGGCTTCTAGAATGAGTGCTAGTAGTTGATTCATAAGTATTTGCTTGATGAATTCTATATGGATTAGTGAAAAAGCATTGTGGAGACTTATAAAACTTTCTACTAGTATATGGTAGTGTCATCTTTTTAATTTGCAACAAATTATAGAACCTCTCTGACCTTTTATTTCTTCATATTTAAATAAATGATAGTACCAGTTCTACATTCCTTGTGGATTAACATGAGAATTAATAATATCACTAATAGGTTGATAATTAATTCTTGGCTTTTTCCTAACATTTATTTGCCACTATATTTGTCTTTTAGAGGGAAAAATTATTTATTAGTGGGGAGGTAGGAGTTGGCAGGAGGGTTGGTGTGTATACGTATACCTGAGAATTGCCTGTTAAAGGAGGAAAATGAATAGCTGAATGTCAGATTTTGTCTGGAGTTGCTGTTCATGCTTGCCATCTGTGTGACTTTAAGCAAGTTTATCCTTTCTGAATTTGTTTTCTTCTGTGTTGGGGATGAATACAACTCTTTCATTAGAGCTGTTAGAATGAAATAGCATGATGAATGTAAAGTATCTGTTCATTGCTTAACATATGTGCTTTTTATCAGTTTTTTATTAATATTTGTAAGGAAGGGCCAGGATAGTAGGAGCAACATGATAAATCTGATCTGGCTTTGAATGTGGCCTGAGTTTCATTCATTTCTAGAAATTTGGATTAAAGCATCATTATGACACAAATCGAGACCTCAGCGCTGTCTTGATTTTCTTTTTGTCCTCCTTTAAATAGATAACATAATTGCCAAAATGAAGTAAAAGCTTCTTTTTGCATTTTCACATCTCTACAGTTCAAAGCTCTTATATAGTATCTCGTAAGAAAGGTTAGGTATCTAAAACTAATAAATGAATTCAGTAAAGTTGCAGGATACAATATCAGCATACAAAAAACTATTGCGTTTCTATATTCTAACAATGAACTCTCAGAAAAATCAAGAAAACAATCCCACTTGCAATAGCATCAAAAAGAGTAAAACACTTAGGAATAAATTTAACCAGTGAGGTGAAAGACTTGCATACTGAAAATTATAATACATTGATGAAAGAAAACATAAATAAATGGAAAGAGGCTGGGCGCGGTGGCTCATGCCTGTAATCTAGCACTCTGGGAGGCCGAGGAGGGTGGATTGTTTGAGCTCGGGAGTTCGAGACCAGCCTGAGCAAGAGCGAGATCCCATCTCTACTAAAAAAATAGAAAGAAATCAGCTGAACAACTAAAAATATATATATAAAAAATTAGCCGGGCATGGTGGCGCATGCCTGTAGTCCCAGCTACTCGGGAGGCTGAGGCAGTAGGATCGCTTGAGCCCAGGAGTTTGAGGTTGCTGTGAGCTAGGCCGACACCATGGCACTCTAGCCCGGGCAACAGAGTGAGACTCTGTCTCAAAAAATAAATAAATAAAAATAAGTGGAAAGATATCTTGTCCTCATGGTTTGGGAAACTTAGTACCTTTAAAATATCCATACTACCACATGTGATCTACAGATTTAATGCAGTTCCCATCAAAATCCCAGTGGTATTTCTTACAGAAAAGAAAGCAATCCTAAAATTCACGTGGAACAACGGAAGACCCAGAATAGGCAAAGCAATCTTGAGAAAGAACAACAAAGGTGGAGGCATCACACTTCCCGATTTCGAAATATATTACAAAGCTGCAGAAATTAAAATAGTGTGGCACTTGCATGAAGACAGACATATAGAACAAGGGAACACAGTGGAGAGCCCAGAAATGAACCCATACATTTTATCAATTGGTTTTTGATGAAGGTGCTAAGAACACACAATGGGGGACAGGATAGTCTTGTCAACAAACGGTGTTGGGAAAACTGGATATCCACATGCAAAGGAATGAATTGGACTCTATCTTATACCATGTACAAAAATCACCTCAAAATGGTTTAAAAACTTAAACATAAGACCTGGAATTGTAAAACTCCTAAAGGAAAATATAGGGGAAAAGTTTTAGGACATCGGTTTTGGCAATGATTTCATGGATGTGATACCAAAAGCACAGGCAACAAAAGCAAAAATAGACAAGTAAGATTCTATCAAACTAAAAAGCTGCCGAACAGCAAAGGAAACAATCAATAGAACGAACAGGCAACCCACAGAATGGGAAAAAGTATTTGCAAACCATATATTTGCAAACCATGTATCTGATAAAGGGTTATTTCCAAAATATGTAAGGAACTCCTACAGCTCAATAGCAAGAAAACCCCAAATAATCTGATTTAAAAATGGGCAAAGGATCCGAATAGACATTTCTCCAAAGGAAACATACAGATGGCCAACAGGTATAAGAAAAGGTGCTCAACATCACTAATTATCAGGGAAATGCAAACTGAAACCACAATGAGATCATCTCACACCAGTTAGGATGGCTCCTATTAAAAAACAAGATGATCTCCCCTAAGTGTTGGCGATGATATGAAGAAATTGGAACCCTTGTACCTTGTTGGTAGGAATGTAAAATGGTACAGCTGCTATGGAAAGCAGTGTGGAGGTTCCTCAAAAAATTAAAAATAGAACTGCCATGTGATCCAGCAATTCCAATTCTGGGTATATATCCAAAAGAATTGAAGTCAAAATCTCAAAGAGAAACTTGCCCTCCCATGTTAATTGCAGCATTACTGACACTAGTTAAGACATGGAAACAACCCAAATTTTCATTGACAAATGAAGAAAATATGATATATACATACAACGGAGTATTATTCAACCTTAAAAACAAGGCAATCTGACTGTTTGCAACAGCCATGAATGAACCTGGAAGACATTATGCTAAGTGAAATAAGTCAGTCACAAAAGGACAAATAATGCACTATTCCACTTATATGAGGTGTCTAAGATAGACTTAAATAACCAGAAATCAGAGTGGTGGTTGCCAGGGAATGGGAGGAGGGAGAAAGGAGGAGTTGTTCAACAGGTATAAAATTACAGTTATACAAATTGAGTAAGTTCTAGATATATTCTGTATAATGCAGTACAAATAGTTAACAGTAGCGCTTAAAAATTTGTTAAGAGCCAGGCACTGTGGTGCATGCCTTTAATCCCAGATACTCCAGAGGCCGAGGTGGAAGGATCACTTGAGGCCAAGAGTTCAAGGCTGTAGGGCAGTATTATCACACCTGTGAATAGCCACTACATTCCAGCCTGGACAATATAGTGAGACCCCATCTCTTTAAAAAAAGTGTTTTTTCTTGAGGGAAGATCTCATGTTAAGTGTTCTTAACACGCACACACACACACGCACACACACACACACACACACAAAGGCAAAGGGACACAGGAAACTTTTGGGGGTGACGGATGTATTTATTACTTTGTGCTGATGGTATGTATATGTCCATGGTGTATGGTATATGCATATGTGCAAACTCATCAAATTGCGTGCATCAAATACGTGCAGGTTTTTGTATATCATGCCTCAGTAAAGTTATAAAATAAATATGAGCAAATGAACAATAAGAAGGATTAGGTATCTTTTTTC